TCTAATAAAATTAAATATCTTAGGATTTAATGAATATATGTTTTTAGAACAATAATACTACTGACGTATATATTTGACTTGTGTATATTTTTAGAACAATAATACTACTGACAACATGTTCTCAAATAATGGTCAATATTCCATTTCCGTTTTTAATATATCGCAAGGACCATGGACTCCACGTTATTTGGTTCGAATTGTTCAAACTCTTTCCAGTAAGCATTAAGAGAGAAGGATCCTAAATTTCGTAATGATAATGCGAATTACCGTAGAATAAATAAATGATTCTTGAGTTTCTATTTTAAGCATTTCTTTTTATACTTTTTTTACTTAAAGGTATTTATATCCATAGAAATTTTGTGTCTATTTATGAAATTGCAGATCATTGTTTTAGAATAAAAAATTCATATATGAAAATATCGCCATATATATATTTAGAGTACTTATTACATTAGGTTTTGCTGACGATAATTGTCATGTGGATAATCTGCACCATACTAACAGTAACCGATACGTTACCGTTTGGTCATCCCGCCAGATCGGATAGCAAATTGAGAATTATAAGCGACTCACCCTGGTTTCGAATACCGTATCCTGGACAGTGGGGCGTACCCACCGTAACATTGTCAGGAGTACTTGGTATGCTAGCAGGAGTATTAGCATGCACTGTTGAGTCCATCAGTTACTATCCGACTACCGCAAGAATGTGTGGTAGGTATATTCATTTTAGAAATGATTTCTTCATAATTTTTCCTTTTAAAGCCATTTCTCATTTATTATTATTAGTACTAATAATGAGGTGATGACTCTTTCCAGGAAAAATCTTTTATCATCAATAAAAATGACCTAAAAAAAAATAAGATTTGTTAAGAACAAAATTTTTGTTAATAATGAGCTTGTGATTTATCAAGAAACTTTCAGGAGCTCCGCCGCCGCCGATTCATGCAATCAATCGTGGTATTGGTATAGAAGGTCTGGGTACAATACTGGCTGGACTTTGGGGTAGCGGCAATGGCACAAATACATTCGGCGAGAATGTCGGCACGATAGGTAACGATTATACATTTTAACCGCGAGTTTAATGCAGATTTTTGGTGTAACAGCATTATCTGATAGAACGTAATGAAAACAATTAGGAGTCACCAAAGTCGGCAGCCGCAGAGTCATACAATGGGCGTGTTTCCTGATGCTCCTGCAGGGTGTAATCAGCAAATTTGGTGCGGTATTCATCATAATTCCCGAGCCGATAGTTGGTGGAATATTCTGCATAATGTTTGGAATGATTTGTGCTTTCGGTGAGCATAAAGTTCTACGATATTCAATTGCGAAATACTTTATTTATGAATATCTCAAAGTTAAATCTCAAAGTAAAAAAGTGCATTCAGATGTCCCATATATTCTTAAACAAGATATATATAATATAAATTAAATATAAATAAAATGTCAATATGAGCTTCCGCAATTGTTGGTGCGAATAATTTAAGCAATAAAATATATTATTTACGCATCAAAAATCGAAGATTTATATTGATATTTTACTATATTTGATTTATTCTCACTGCCATAAAATTATTTTTATTTTTATATTTTTATATTAATTAAACGAGATATGTAAGACTTATATTAGAAAGATTTCATGAAAAGATAGCAAATTTATTCGTAATACTTATAATTTAGATGTATAAGTAATTAGGAAACTGTTTTTAATTTAAAAATTACTATTTTCTTTCTTTTCTTTATTATTTATTTCATCTCTTAGCAAATGAGAATGGATTAAAATGGATTGAAATTTTTTTCTATCTAAATGCATATTTTAAATAGCGAATACTTTTTTTGGATTCAATTGGATTCAATTAGATTCAATTGGATGTAATTGAATTGAAAAACTGCATTTTCTATTCAAAATTTTGAATTGAACAGTATCATTCACAATGCACAGAAAAAGCTAACATTATTTTTAGATTGAAAGGCATAGAGATATGCTCCATGCAATTCCTATAAATGAATAAAAATGCATTCAGGCTTGAAAAACATTCATTTTAACATTCGTGAATCAATATTTCTGAAAATCTGAATCTATTTCAATCCATTCTCATTTGCTGGGCTTATATATATATATATATGGTATTTTCTTCTTTATTATTTTTATTTTATTTTTAATTCGCAGTTCTTTTTTTCAGGTCTGTCGGCATTACAATACGTTAATCTCAATTCCTCAAGAAACTTATTCATTTTAGGCTTGTCCATGTTTTTCCCTTTGGTGAGTATGTACACTCTCCAGGATACGAATGTGTACTCAATTACATTAATTTTTGCTATTTACATTTCTAGCAGAATTTATTGGCGAAACGTTGGTTAAATATTGGCATACATTGAGGATATATTGGGCAATCCAGCAAACGAAAATAGATTAAAATAGATTGAAATTTTTTTCTATCCGAATGCATATTTTAAATAGCGAATACTTTTTTTTGGATTTAATTGGATTCAATTGGATTCAATTGGATTCAATTGGATGCAATTGGATTGGAAAACTGCATTTCCTATTCAAAATTTTGAATTGAACAGTATTCACAATTGTATGTTTTTGCACAGAAAGAGCTAATATTATTATTAGATTTTGAAAGGGATAGAGATATGCTCCATGCAATTCCTATAAATGAATAAAAATGCTGAAAAAATTCAGGATTGAAAAGCATTCATTTTAATATTCGTGAATCAATATTTCTGAAAATCTGAATCCATTTCAATCCATTCTCGTTTGCTGGGAAATGTTGCGCCGATGAATTGTGCTGTTAGGGATGCATAAATACATTTTCATATAAATTACATATCTACATATACATATAGATACATATATATTTATATGCAAGAGTGAATGCACGCATGTGATTTTATGATCTATTTCAGGTCTTGTCAAAGTGGCTGATTAAATATCCGGATACAATACAAACAGGAAATGCCGTGGTGGACAGCGTATTCACCGTATTATTCAGCACCACTATTTTAGTAGGTGGTGCGTTAGGCTGTTTATTGGATAACATTATCCCAGGTACTATTGATAAGGATTAATAATAATGGGATATGTACTTATTGATTTATTTATATTTAAATTTATAAGGTAATGCAAAAGATCGGGGCTTGGAGGCTTGGGCAAAAGAAATGGAATTGACTGATGACGCGATTGACAAAAAAATTGACGAAGCATCTGATGCTGAGTACGTCCAGAATACTTTCGATTTTCCGTTTGGAATGAGTCTGCTGAGAAGGTGTTATTAATATACATTAGATTTTATCTATATATAATATTTATATATAATATGTACAACGTACAGTTAATATTTAAATTAATTAATATTTTTTAGATGGAAATGGACATCATATATACCGTTTTTACCTACTTACCAAAAATTATAAGTGCATTAAAATTGAATGATACAATTACCTCATGTGCATATACTTGGTCTGTCGTAAGATATCTTTAAATCGAAAAATGTGATATGTAAAAATCAACAAATGTGACATCACAATGTTATACAAAATTTTATAACACATAATTACCGTTCCTAATCTTAATTTCAGTCATATTTGCTTTGTCAATTATGAATATCAATTTCATGCATGAAATTGTCTTCTCTATCTCTCTTTAAATAAAGATAAATATTTATGAAAAAGATAAAATATTATAATTGTATATAACTATACAAAGAAATTAATTATATGTCTAGATGTGTATTAATATTACACTTTGTTTTTTAAATCGAGAAATAAATAATGGTTAGAAACTTTAGAAATATTGAAGTACATGTAACAATCATAAATCAATTATTATTTCAACTTACAATAATTAATTTGATGTTTTCAACTTACAATAGTTAATTATGTTGCACTTTTGCAATAAGGATTATTTACCTCTTATATCTATTAAAAATTATCTACATTAAAGTTTTATAAATATTTATTGTTGTTAAAGATAATAGACTTATATATTAATTTATAATATCTATATCTATTTCTTTTATTTCAAATTATACAATATATA